CAGGTGCAACTGTTGTCTAGGTGAGGAGAGATTCCTAGTGCTTCCAACTCTGCCATCTTCCCAGAATCCTCCTCCATTTGATCTGTTTAGGCTGATGGACTCTGAGTTATCATGAGTTAACTCCGATGACTGGAGGTAGATTTCAAATCACGAGAGCCTGAAGACCATAGACCCGTTTTGCAGTTATGACCCCCTCAAGTCAAGTTGCTCCTTGTTCACCACCTCAAGGAATTCAAGATCAAAATCATATTGCAGTAACTGCTGGAAAACCACGTGGTACTGGCCTCCACATTACCAAGACAAGTAACAGGAATGAAGGACCACGGAGATTGAGGTGTGGAGCTGCTTTATGAGAAAGGGCAGGAAACCAATTTACTTAGCATCTACTATGTTCTAGAGTGGTGATGGTGTACTGGGTGCTGGCATGGTGATGAGTCAAGGAATAAGTGAGTTCCTGGATCCTTTAGGGGTGGTCACATGAATATTAATTGTGTGCTCAGGCTGGTGTCATTTTCAGGAAGACTTAGGTCTATCTGTAGAGACTGAGGGTATACACGTGGGCTTAAGTGTTTAGACCAAAGAGATGAGGAATTCTCAGTGTGAAAAGATGGCTGTGAGCAGACATCGGATAAGTTAGTCGAGCAACTAGAATTGGATGTGGCATCCCCAAATACCAGTCATTGGCTTGTTCTTCCCAGCTTATTTTCTTGGTCAGACATATTTAAGGAGATAATTTTAAAGCCAAGTCATAATGCGTACAGCAAGGAGTTATCTTATGAAAACACATGATCCAAAGCAGACCCAGGCCAGAAATATTTAATACCTAAAGAAAGCCTTGGACACTTAGTGTATTTGTAACGTGTCAGCTAAGCCCAATTTGAAATACATTCCTTCCTTGCAGTTTTGGGTTAGGGATCTTGTGAGACACTTGGAAGGTGGAAACAATGCAGCAACAATACTTTTTATATTTGGAAGGTCAGCAGAAGGCGAGGTGGTTGAGTGCCTTGTAGAGGAAGCACCCAGTAAATAGTAATGACCAGTTTTAGCTTGCAACTGCAGGACAGCTTTTCCTATGCACCGTTCTTAGTAGCGGAGATCTACCCTACCCTTGTCAACGCCTGGCGTCACTCAACATTTTACTACTTGCCCTTGATTGTCAGACCCTGATGCGAGGCTTGATCCCATGAACTGTGAGATTGTGACCTGAGCTGAAGAGTCAGATACTCAACCGACTGAGCCCCCCAGGCACTCCCCGCCCCCCAGCATTGTTTAAAAAGCAAATCATGCCTATGCTTTACATTTCCTGTATTTGTACCCCAAAGTGGAGTATGAGGCCTATGGCTCTGCTGTCATTTCTGGTCAACCAAATGCTTGGGGATTTTAAAGAACTAACAACATCTCATTCCATCGGCCAAGAGATCATGCTTCAGACTGGAAAAAGACCTATTTTGGAATTGTGCAAGGACATCAGTCGACCTGGGTGACTGTGGGCCAGCCACTTCACCATTCTGGGGCCTCCACATGTGATTCCCCAAGGTCCTCTGGAAATTCCTGCATCAGGGACTAGGCTCAAGATGTCCCGTCTCTAGGCAGCCTTTAGCCCCAACAAAATGCTGACAAAGATCTTCTTGGGAGTTACCTTCGGTGATGTTCCTGTTTTGCAATGTATTACTAAGGACACATGTGTAGATTATGTTCAATTATAGATCAAGAGATAAATTATGCAAACAGCAGTGATGAAATTATTGCGCCTTCTCTGTATCCTTTCCCCGCCTCCCCTCAACATCAGACGTGAAGGAGAGAAGAATATGCAAGGCAGCACCGAGTGGGTGTCCCTCAAGACATTTTCAAGCCATTACGGAATGTTCTTTTATGTACACTTTTGTCAGTCATTGCTACTCGAACATGTGAGCAGCCAGCGGATAGAAATAACATACAGCTAGGCTAGGGAGTTCTTAGTTTTGGGATCTTGACTCACCAGTCTGAATTCAGTGCATGTTGTCACTAACGCTGGTGAGTCTCCCAGGGTTGTCAGTCCTACATTCTGATGCACGATGCTAAAAAGGCTGAATACATGTGGACAAAGCTCTTCACTGACACACTCATCTCTGGAGTGGATGCAGGCTGCCTTGAGTTACCCAGGTCACGGCTGGGAAACCACCTCTGGCTATCCTTAATACCCCTAGCAAGAGTATTATTTGCTTAGCAAAAACATGCAGAGGCGCCTGGGTGGTTAAGCCCATTAAGTGTCCAACTCTTGATCTCGGCTCACATCACGATCTCATGGTTGGTGGGTTTGAGCCACACGTTGCATGGTGAGGAGCCTGCTTGGGATTCTCTCCCCCCACCTCTCAAGATAAGTAAAAAAAATATAAAATCATGCAAATAAAGACAATTATTTCATTTTCAAGTAATTTAGCAGCAAAGGGGTAGGAGTAGAATTCAAATCCAGAGATGAAGCAAGGAATTCAGAAGGATAAAAGATAAGGTCTCTGGAGCCTGCACTGACCTATCTGCAGATGCCCGTAGAGCTAGTGGAGATAGGATCGTCACCACCCCAGCCCCGCGTCACCTTTCTTTTGCAGTATGTGTGACCTCTCCTTTGGCCTTCCGAGTATGCAACCAGGAGTATCTGATGAAATATGCTACTTAGAGTACATGCACACTTAAGCCAGAATATCCCCTGATGCATGCTTATGTTTTACATATTTATTAAAGGGCACTACGAAGTCTCTTCATTTCCCAAATGAACCTTACGATCAGTTAAAATGGCGGAATATCCACAGGCTGATGAGAAAACAAAATCCTCTGGTCTCTCTGATCATGTGGTTCATCTGCACAAAGATGCATCATCCTGCCACCTTTAGTCCCACGCTGGTTTCCAGCTGTCCTCAGAGCAAGGAAGACAATATGGCCTCCAGCCAATTTTCTGATGTCACATGTCTTCAACTTGGCCCCCATGGTTTTCCAACCAAAACAACTTTTCCTGAAGACTACTGAAGCAAAACCAAGAATAATGGAAAGTTTATGTCTGGTTGTTTTTAAAATTTATTTGAGGAACACAAAAAAGTGTATCTGAGTGATTTTTTTAAAAACAAGTTTTTAATTCATCATATGCTGCCTCACCACTCCATATGTAGTCTAAAAGATGGTTCAAACACATCTGATTTCTAGACAAATTAAGATCACTGAATTTGATATAAGAATATATGAAGTTTCTTCTCGAGAGGCGATGGGCACCCACAATCATATGCTCAGAACCACCCACACACCCCTTCCCTCCCCTCCCTGCACTCTTGCCCTCCCTACCCCCGCCCCCCCCCCCAAATCTGGTGACCCATAACACACACCTGGGAGACAGTTGGCTGGGGTGATCTAATTTTTGGAATTGTTCTTTTGTTTGTTACCTGCAAAACACTAACTGGCCTTTTTAGGATGAAATCTCAGTATTGGCCTCATTGAAGTCATGCTCTAGTCAACAGAGCTACAAATACTAAACAGTTAAGCAAACAAAGCAAAATCAACTTTTGCTTTTCATATTTCCTAGGCGAGACTGGGGCTTTTGAAGAAATCTCATGAAAAAAGACAAAAGTGAGAAATTAAAAGGATTCTAGTTGTCAAAAGAGAAACTCACAATTTCATTCCGTTTGTTCCATGGAGCAGAGAACTGGTATAAAAGGAAATGATTTAATTTTTAGGTTGCCACGTGGGTCCTAACCTAACAACGAAAGTGTTTTGTTAAAACCACCATAAAAGTAAAAATGAAGTTAATTGCCAGTGTTCTTTAGGATTTTACAAATGAGATGTTCCAGGTTGGAGCGACTGTTTCCTTCAGTTGCAGGCGCTTTCCCACGAGAGCCTTCAGGCTGTGGGGAGAGAAAGCCACGCTCAATCTCGCTTACCCTTAAGGACCAAGATTCCACTGCGTGTACGTATTTTAAGACTTGCCCCGATTCACCGCCCCAGTACTGGAGCTTTCAAGGCGAGATGTGCCTGCACAGGAAGCGGTTTTCGATTCTTTTTCACAACCCACACCAGAACAAAGAAGCTATCAGCAGGAGGGGAAAGCTACTGCGTGCCAAACCTGCGAGGAAAACCCTTAATGCACAAGAGCAACTACTTATTTTTACAACTCCACAGATTTTGTTTTTAAAAATTAAGCTACTCATAGTAGTAAAAAGTCGATTTTTTTTGCATGATAGAGGAGTGTAAATAAAGTTCCATAAATCAGTATACATGTTTACAAGGCAGTAATTTTTAAAAGACAAAAACAAAAGCCGCGGCGATCCTAAGTGGATATGTAACTAAATCCACTCCAGGTCAGATATCCTAAGAACAAGTCTTAAATACGTAATAGCAATGGTCAGAATGGAAAGAAGAAAGTGAACGGTAGCAATGCTGGCAGGCAGGGCTGTCCTCCACATTTCTCCTAGAAGGGCCAGAGGAGGGGGGAAAGCATAATTCTGACGGCTATTTTCACGCTTCGGCATCTCAGAGCTTCACCTAAGGCAGGGAAAGCTAGCCCACACACTGCTCTGCTCATTACTGTCGCTAAAGAATGTTTTGGGAATGACAGGGTCCCTCCTCCAGGGCCAGGCTGGGTGCAGGAGAAACCCACTCTCCCAAGGAGGCTGGCTTAGGGAGGAGGGAGTTTGGCTGAGTCAGTGAGCCGGTGGCCTCTGAGGTTCTGGCTTTCAAGTCTGGCGGCTGCTGAGGACCTGAGGGGATTCCAGACGCCTCAACTGTGGGTTCTGTTGGTTAAAAAATGCTAGCACTTCAGTCATTTAAAAAAGCCAAACCTTCTCCTCCTTTCCCCCACCCAACTGTAGGAAAGGAGAAACTCATTAAGCAATTATTTTTAGGTTTCCGCAGTGCTACTGAAGTTCAATCGAATGTAAAACCTGACAGACAGCCCCAAATTGTTAGGATTATCTCAAGGGACCCTGAATTAGATGTCAAAGGCTGACATAAACTGAAATGAGCTGGACTCGAGCTGTTGGCTCAGCCTTGCCACACCAACAGTCATTTCTGTTTTGTTCCACCTGGAGTGGTCCCATGCCACCCCCTCGAGGAGAACACTGGGCAGCAGCAGGGTGGCTGTTTTCTGGGAAGCCACTGGTTTTGCCATTTGCTTCCAGAATCACACAGACTATAACAAACTTTACATTAAACACTGTTTAGTCCTGAGTAGGGTGAAAGCCCATGGAGGAGGGGGCCGAGTTCATCAGGGCTCTTCCCTCCTTGGCGTGGTGTCATACGTGGCCTCCGGCTTTCTCTTCCATCACTTGCCCCTCTGGTTCTTTTTCACGGCTGACGACCCCTTCTATAGTCTTCTTGCCCACTGCCTTACTGGCCTCTTCCTGAGGAAAAAATAAGAAATCAAGAGGGTCAGAGGAACAAGGAACTGAAACACTGAAGGAATTCCTGGCTCCTCCCGACAGGCCGTCAGGTGTGGAACGGGGACGCGACGACCTTACTGGGGTTGCCCGGCCGGGGAAGTCAGGACAGTGCTGCCAACAGTTGAGGGGGCAGCTTTCGCTTTTCCTGGGTGGAGGGGACTAGCCTGCCACCTGCCACAGGCATGGCTGCCAACAAGAGGCTGGGAGCGGGCGGTGAACTCAGGACCAGAGTACAACTCTGCTGTGGGGAGGCCGGCAAAGTAAAGGGTATGATAGCAGGGCTTCCCCATCACAGCCCATCCCTGGCAAAATGGGAAGTCTCAACAAAGACGTACTATCTGAAAAAAATATCTGATGTGCTTGACTTTTTTTTTTATTATATATTTTTTTAAGGTTTATTCATTTTTGAGAGAGAGAGACAGCATGAGCAGGGGAGGGGCAGAGAGAGGGAGACACAGAATCTGAAGCGGGTTCTAGGCCCCAAGCGGTCAGCACAGAGCCCGATGTGGGGCTCAAACCCACAAACTGTGAGATCATGACCTGAGCTGAAGTCCAGAAGCTTAACCGACTGAGCCACTCAGACGCCCCTTGACTTTTAAAAAATAATAAACTTTAGAACGTCTCTAGGGAACTTATTTTCCTCATTTCTTTCACGGATGTGTCAGTGCCTCATAACTCTTGTGTCTGGTGAGTAGAACAGCCCTGTTCTACTTCCAGATCCAAACCAGCCTCAGATAAGATCGGGTATCATTCTCCCCATTCTTGCATCTCTTGGGTTGTCTACCTGTCCTTGTGTCCCATGCTTAACCCTTTTTTTTTAAATTATCAAAAAAAATTTTTTTAATGTTTCTCTTGAGAGAGAGAGTTCTGTACATACCTTTGCATCCTGCTCTGCAAACTTCTTGAACATGTTGGCATATATCCTGCGGTCCCGCTCATTGTGCTCCTTTGCCTTTTTCTGGCACATGGAAATCTGCAGTCGCGCTGCCTTATTCTGGGGATTAACTTCCAACACTTTCTCAAAGTCGCCCTTGGCCGACTCAAACTCGTTCATGAGCAGCTGGGCTTCCCCCCTTCTGTACAAGCCCTTCTCGTTGGCACTGTCTAGTCCAAGGGCCTAGGGACAGAGGTCTACTTTTTAGAAAGGGTGAATGTAACTTGTGTGCTTTGAAGAAATTCAGTATTTAAGTCACTTACCAAAGCTTCTTGGCCAAGAGAATTGGAAAAAGCATATTGAAGAGATGGGGCTCAAGGTAATTAAATACTACCGATCAAAATCCAACTAACTAGGCCCATGTTAACTTCTGTATTTGATATGATTTCTATAAAGATTCCAAGGGGGCTTTGGAGGAGGCTCTTGAGAAATTCATTTTAAAATTCAATGGAAGAAGTAAATGCCCAAGAGTGGCTGAGAAAATTTTGGGAAAACAAAAATAACGAGAGGGGACTTGACCTACAACAGAAAAAAATACACTCTGAAACCACTGAAGAGTTTGCCAGTCTGTGTGCAAAGCGGAACAGAACAAAGCAGAAGCAGATTTATGTGTATGTACATTAAAAGATTTAGCAGTGATAAAGGCGGGAATGTAAATCGGTAGGGAAAGGGCTAACTTTGCAATAAATGGAGCTGAGACACTGGCTATGAACATGGAAAATGAGAATTAAGTTGTTACATCACATCAAAACACAAAAGATCCTAGACCGCGTATACCTATATGCAAAAACAAACCTCACCAAAATATAACACGGTTTACTTTTAATTCATTTTTTAAAAGGCATACCTAGGTAGAGTAGGTTTTGCAAGTACCAAACAGAATTATTTTTATCATCTTAGGGTAGGGAAGAGCTTTCTCATTAGAAAGGAAAGGACAGATTCGACTAAGTAAATATTTAAAACTTTCCTTGCAAGTGAGGAGAACAAGGTCCCTATAGTCAGATAAAGGGTTAGCAGTAATAATGTACAGACTGCCTCAGTCAATATGAAACAGACAAATCATCTAGTTGGAGGATTTGAATAGGCAATTCATAGAAGAAATGCAAATGGCTAATGATGAAAAGATGGATAATTTCATTAGGAACCAAGAAACAAAAATGAAAATTTTTTGTTGCCAATAATATTGACAAAAAAACCCCACGGATAATATCTAATAATCCTGTATTTTGAGAGAGAAAGGCAGCGAAGGGGCAGAGAGAGAAGAGAGAGAGAATCCCAAGCAGGCTTCATGCTGTCAACATGGAACCCATGAGGGTTGGGGCCTGAACTCACGAACGATGAGATCATGACCTGAGCTGAGGAGCTCAGGAGTCGGATGCTTAAATGGCTGAGCTACCCAGGGGCCCCTCAATAATCTATTTTTTGACTCCATATTCCATTCCTAGAAATTTAGCCTGTAGAAACAATGCCGAAAGTATACCTAAGTGACCTCTATGTAAGCAGCTCAACTCTATCATACTCAAGTCCTGAAAGGCTGAAGTTGAATCTGTTCTTAGTAAATTAAACATGAGGAGTTCTATGTCCAATCTGATACCAGATGCCATAGATTTAAGGAAGGTCATGGATGAAAAAAATTTTAACGAAACTTTTCTTCATAGTGTATTATCATCTAGGCATCAGAAAAGTCTGACTATAGTTGTAATGTTTCTGAATTTCCCAATTCATAAGGAGAAACAAAGAATCCCAAGTTAACAAATGAATATAACAAAGCAAAATGAAACACCACCCACCCCTTGGCTAAGAAGAAGCAAAGTAAGAAGACCAAGTATGAAAACGGAGAGAAAGACTGGGACTATGGAAAGTCCAGTTCACACGCAGACACCCTTTACCTTATCACAGCATTCAACAGCTTTGGTGTATTCTCTAAGCTTCAGGTAGCACATGGCCAGGTTCAGGAAGGCAGCCAGCAGAAATGATTCAGAAGCTTTAGATTCCTTCTCTGATAAGCCATATTCCATCTCTAACCAGGATACGATCTTCCCATATTGAATCACTGCCTGCATGTACTTGCCTCCCTAGGAGGAAAAAAAGCTAGGGATTACTTGTTGCACAGGGTCTGGAGGGGGTACAAAAGAAATATAAATTCAGGCCTCCCTGAGAAAACCAAATCCTCAAAATGAAAACAGCCCCCTCATACAAACCATGGTATTTGATCATTTCCTTTTGCTCTTAGGAGATGGGTATCCAGGCCCCTTTCCCCATTCTTTTTGCAGGGCCAGTGACCTGGGAGCTGATTCGAGACAGTGCGCTATAGAATGCTGTTCTCCAGCACGAAGGGGACGGCTCTCCCAGCAGGACGGCATCAAGGCTTTGGGTTACATTCTGGGTGTTAGTATTTCTCAGACTTTCAGAAGGCTGGGGGGTAGTTTTAGAGTAGATCAGTAGTTTACATGAAAGGAAATTACTCTTCCCTTTTCTCCTGAGAAGAAGCACTCCACAGTAGACTACATTCTGGCAAGTGCCAGTCACAAACACAGCGAATCTTAGTTATCTAAACTAGGAGTGGGCAAACTTTTTCTGTAAAGGGGCAGATAAAAAACATTTTAGGCTTTGCAGGCTGAACAATCTGTTGCAACTCTGTCAAGAATAGTGCAAAAGCAGCTACAAACAATATATAAATATACTCGATCCCTGAATAACACAGGGGTTGGGGTGCTGACTCCCCATGTGGTTAGAAATCTGTGTATATTTGATTTAATTACTTTATGTATTCATTTTTTTCTCATCATGACAAGTATACTCTTTAATCCCCATCACCTATTTTACCCATCCCCCTACCTACTACCTCTCCTCTGACAACCATCAGTTTGTTCTCTACGGTGAAGAGTCTGTTTCTTGGTCTTTTTCCCCGTTTGCTCACTTGTTTTGTTTCTTAAATTCCACATTTGAGTGAAATCATAGGGTATCTTTCTCTGACTGGCCTTATTTCGCTTAGCTATACTCTCCAGTTCTACCTACATTGTTCCAAATTGCAAGATTTCATTCATTTTTTTAAATGGCTGAATAATACACATATACATCCATGCCACTTCTTTATTCATTCATGTATCGATGGACACTTGGGCTGCTTCCATTGGCTACTGCAGATAATGCTGTTATAAACACAGGGATGCAGGTGTCCCTCTGAATTAGTGTTTTTGTATTTTGGGGGGGGGGGGGCTTAGCATAGAGCCCGATGCTGGTCTCAATCCCACGACCCCGGGACCATGACCTGAGCTGAAATCAAGAGTCAGATGCTCAGCCGAATGAGCCACCCAGGTGCCCCACTGGTTGTTCAACACATTTTCCACGTTATTTGTACTATATACAGTATTCTTACAATAAAACAAGCTCAAAACAAGCAGAAGTTATTTGGGAAATCATAAAATACATTTATGATGCTGAATTTATTTAAAAAAAGTCTGTATATAAGTGGACCAGTGTAGTTCAAACCCATGTTGTTCAAGGATCACTTGTAAATGTGTGTGGCTGTGTCCTGGTAGAATATTACTAAAACAGGCTGTAGTTTGCTGACCTCTGATCTACACACAACGGAAATACAGAGCTGAATAGCAGCATCCAATATAAATAACTATGAGACATAAATCACATAGATGTCAGCTAACTACATGAGAAAAATCTTTAATATACTGTTGCTCTAGTGATTATAATTTTAACAACTGTGAATAACAACTGTAGAGTCAATTCATGTGAGTTAACTATATGCTCTATACAAGAAATTATGGGGCTGAGATGACATGTTCACTGCCATTTTAAGGTGAAAGAAAGAAGTGACAGCCGGCAAGCACACAAATAAAATGGGAGCACAGGTGAGGAGTCGCCTCTGCAGGAGGTGACTCTTAAAATGGAAAGCAGAGGACATGTCCTACCAGACCTGTAGCCAGACCCCTGAGGATTTTAGATCCAGTGTCTGAGCCACCAACAGTATTCAGATCATGTCACTAGGATCCACCACAGTGAAAGCAGTGTGTGCATCTCAGTGTGGAGCTGTCTCCCCACGTGCACTCCAAAGCTCACCCAATGACTGAGAGAAAAATCACAGAGCAGATCTACCAGAATGTTCCTGTTAAAAAGGACTTCAAGTGGCTGGCATAAGACATGAGCTCCACCTGTAGAAAGAAGCCCTGATGTTGATGAGGATGGAGTAGAGCAGTTCCCCGCGGAAGGCCTACATCTGAAAGCAATGATGGCTACATCCCCCCGTGAACATCCCTCTTCACCAGTGACTTGTTTAGGGAACAGAAGACCTACAGAGCTCACAAGTTCTGCTGTAGAAGGGCAGTGCAAAAGAATTCCGAAGTGCTTTGAAGAAACAGTGTATTAGAATCGAAGTTTATTATCCTCCGTGCCTCAAAGATTTGTGATCTGGGTTATTTATAAGAATAGGAAACCAGGTCCGCTCAGAGTAAATGCTGAATTTTTTTTTAGGAAATTAGATTGTATGTGCTATGGACTGAACTGTGTGCCCCCCACCCCCATTCACATGGTGAGGGCCTATCTCCAACACAATGGTAGCTGGAGATGGGGCCTTTGGGAGGTGATCAGGCCTAAACTGGGTCCCGAGGGCGAGGCCCTCACAATGGACTTCATCCCTTTGTAAGAGACACCAGAGAACTTGCTTCCTCTTTCGCCCATGCTGTCTGTAAGCACCTAGGATAGTTCATCCGAGCACACAGCGAGGAGGAGTGCTCTCACACACACCAGCCCTGCTGGAACTTTGAACTTAGACTTGCACTCTCTGGAGCTGTGACAGATAAACTGTTGTCTCCATCACCCAGACTATGCTGTTTTATTATGGCAGCCCAAGGTAATGAGAACACTAACATCCTGTCAGAGCCTTAGACCCACTATTCCTTTTTTGGGACACTACACAAAAGTCCTCATGAGGCACCGGGTTTGTCATTTCTTTCCGTCACTGTCTTTTCTTTTGTGGATGGTGAGCAATCTGAGGACAGGAAGCGTGTCTTATCCCTTTGGAATATCCAAAGATACTGAGCACAAAGAGGCCCTGAGGAGAGGTGTGCTGAACAAATATTAAGGTCGAAGACAGAACTCTGGAATCAAAATGTTCTCTATGGTTGACAGCAAAAATGGAGAGGTGGGTAGAAATGAAAGGTTATCATTTCATTCAGGTTAGGTAAGAAGGACAGGTATTTTCCCTGTTATGCCTAGTTTCTTCTTCTTCCTCCTTCTCAAATGTACCTATTATCTTTTCTGATGATCTCCTAGTATATTGTTACAGGGAAAGAAAAAGGCCAGGGAGGACAGTGACCCAGAGCTTATCATTGCGGTAGGTTCTAAATAATCAGAATGGTACAAGGCTGTGGTTTCAAACAAAAAATCATACACACACACACACACACACACACACACAA